GAGAACTTTTTACATCAGGAGGGTTGCCAATTTATGAACGTATCATACTTTCCTTTTTACCTTTGTGGCGACCGCCACGGGGGGTCCACGCACTTAGGTCTGGCAACTCTTGGCCCTCGAGGCGAAGAATCGAGAGATGTCTTTCCAAACATCTCCGAGTTTCTTCGTCCTCGAGGACAAGAGTATTGCCCACGCCCCCACTTCCTGGGACTTTCCTAGGGAAAAGGGGCTACTTAAGGGAGCCCCGAAAAAGGCACCAGGCCTTTTGTCGTAGACCTTCTCTGCACGCGCATCACATAGTTTACATTTGAAATTAGTTTAAGCATTACGTTTATATAAATATATTTTTGTTACCCACTTTGCGAGTAATCATTTGCACCACGTCACTTCCAAACCTTTTTCCATTCTACCGTAATAAATTATTAAACTCACAGTCTGGGAACTTTTGTTATACATTGTTACTCCTACCCAATAGTCAAAACTGGAGAATTTCCTCGAATGAGTTCTGAAGTTTCAGAAGTCGTAGAAAATCTTCGTAAACCTTGAGAACCGCAGCGGAGCTCTGTAATTCATGGACTTAAGATTTTATATCGGCTTAGGAACTTCTAAGTTCCCGCGGATCCCAAAACCCGCGAAACTTTCTAGAAGGCTCTCGAGAAGTTTGAAAATTGAAAGTCCTCGGTCCTCTAGACGTATTTGAAAGCTCGAACGGTTCGTTTGTCTTGAAGTAGTAGGTGGCAACAATCTGGTCAACTACGAGGGAATCAACAATTAAATAACCAACAGCGAAGAAGATCTACCAACATCCATTAACTCTTTCAATAATCTCAAAAAATGAAGCAGATTGTAACTTCTGTTTTCTTCTTTTCTCTAATTCCCTTAACAAAAATTACAGATTCTTGTCATCACTAGTGCCTTTTAACATTTTACGGTTACTTGCAGTATGTAATAAAATCAAAATTGAATTTCTTCGTAATAAAGGTTATGGATTATATTGAAATGAATTCAATAATTTTAAGTAACAACAGTTTCGAACGATTTTCACTCGAGGATATCATATGACATATCATATTACGATAGCGTTTTGTTTACTGTTTTACGTGGTGAATTAGACAGTTACATATCCACAGCGCGTTGCTTGGACTTCACAGTTGAAGATTTACTAAAGCCGTTCCAGTTATAAATATAACCTATCCAGCATACTAAATGTTACCTGTCTTGTACTCTCCAAAATTGGTACATAATGATGTCGTAAATAAATAAATCAATCAGTTATATCTTTGGTTTTATATCACTTCAAATTTATGATTCAAAAATGTCTTTTTCACAGGTACCAAGAGATTCGTGTTATTTCGTTTATTTCACTCACACCGCGCCTCGAGACCGCTTATTCAGCAAACGAAACAGCGATTTTTCAACAGGTTTGAACCATGAATGGGCGGTCGGTCTTGTTGCTCTTATGGACTGGCCACGAGCGTTGCTTTTTTTTTTGTCTTTTACTTTCATAGACGCTTGGCGCCATCGCTGACACACCGCGCTGGTCTATTTCTTGTCGTCAAGTGAAAAAAAAAAATCTTACGAATGTTCTCTCTACTTTGAACAGGAAAATCACATATTCATTTTTGATCTGGGTTAGTAGTTTTTGCGTAATTTTTTGCGATGGAAGATATTTAAAGGACAGGATCTAGTTGACACCCATTAAATTACATGTTAATTGACAGAGTGAATAGTGTGTGTAGTAAGGGACATAAAAGATTTTTTTGTTCAAGTATTTATGTTGGAGGTTATGAGATATGGATGTCACGTGTGATGAGCTTTAACGTCAGAGCAAGGAAAAAGTTTGAAGTGTCGAGTAGGAAAAAGTGATGGAGTGTGAACTACAAACTGGAAGGCTATATAGGGTGATATATAAATACAGAAATATTTAATTTATATCTTACAAAACCGAATAATTTTACAGTGATATTATTACTAAAAAGGAAACTCTTACTACTGTTCACTATAAACACCACAGACAAACGTAACCACATGAAAATTCCAGCAAAGCAATTACGAGCAAAGTTATTGCCCCACAGCGGATAGTTTTAAACCGGAGAGGCCAACTTCCGCCACAACTCGGAACAATTTCAAGTTTCCAGGCCTGAATTCCGGTGTTAAGTTTCAAATTAGGGTGAAGCATCGCCAGTGACGAGGTGCAAACCTCACTAATGCCTCGTCATTATGATACTCCCAGAGAGAGGAGGTGAGGGGAAGACAGAGCAGATTAATAACCTCATAATAACCAAAGAGGGAAGATGATTGGCGAAGTGGACAGCTTACGCGTGTCAATTAAATTTATATTAGCTTTAGTACTTACATCATCTTATTGATAGAAATTTTCTACCAGAAACAAGAAAAACAAATGTACATATACTTTGGCATATAAGCATTTCAACTCCGCCTAATCATACGGAACATTTAAATTGATTTCAAAATCGGTGATTTTCGTGCACCACCTACTTCCGTCCATTAGAATTTCCTTGGATCGGTATATAATTGCTTCCTAATGAGAGGCTAATTTCGAAACGCGGTTCTGGTTCGCGCGTCGCTAATTCGACTTGACTGGCATTGTCTCCACGCCCACTAAACGAATAATACATATTTACGAGCGCAAGAGTCATCTACATTGAAAAGGCGCGTACCGTTTCTTTTCTGTCGCGGGGGAAAAATGGCGACGGTCGCCCTTGCCAATGGATTCGTTCCGGGGTTCGGTTTTGCCACGCTTGCAAAGACAACCGAGTAATTTGGTATTTCGATTGCCACGAACGTGTGGATGGAGCTATTACATGCTCTAACGGCGTGTCAATTGTGTGATGGCAATTGCAGCGCATGAAACGTTATCAGTTTAATCATTTTATAGCGCGCTAAGTCGTTGATCGTGTTGAGGTTAGCACGCGTGATGTACTGAATTAAATTTGGTTGTCAAGTTCAATGTTCTTGTACCTACTTATTTTGATCTGTGTTAGATCGTATTGAGGGTTTGTTGAAATCTTGTGAAACAATAAGAATTGTAAACAAACCTTATCAAATAAGTGTCAACAATATGGTTAGAATTTTGAATTCACAAGATCTATGAACTGTGAAAGAAAAATTCTTTTTTAACATTACCGAATGAATAAAAGAGAAGAAAATACATTTCTAGAGACTTCGTATTTCCATAGAGACGTCATTTTATCACGAAGAATCGACTATTGGATATCTTCAAATCGGCCGAGAAAGATGACGTCCGGCGTGGCGTCAAGAACAGGTGAAAAATAGCAAAAACACGCAAAGTAAAATGGAAAGAGAGAGAGAGAGAGAGAGTCGATTTGATAGTTTCCCATCCGCTTTCTCGAGTTACTTTTGTTCGAGGACTTGTCACGCCCAGTCGTCCACGGGCAGAAGCCTCGCCTTCGCCGGAGGCGGTTCTGTTAAGTGCACAAATAGCATCGAGTTACGATTCAGAGATGAAAACGAAAAGGGATTAACCTATTGACAACTGTAAGCAACCTTATACAACTATGCTTTCCATAGGCTGGTCATATTCTTCGTTTGAAAAAAACCTTTGGCATTTTGAAGATCGTTAAGGTGTAAGTTACAAGTCAGAACGAAACTAAGGGTACACTTGTAATTTGATACGTATCCACTTCCAAACAGTAAACACAGCTGCTGCTAAGAAACAGTACGAGCATGCTTCATCTTTTTTGTGCCTGGAATAATTCTAAGAAATAGACTATTATGTTTTCTCTCGCGCTTCACTTGTTCTAACTTTTTAGTAAAGCATTTATGGGTCTAAAGATACTTTCATCCTATTTTTAGTCATAGAATACACAGACACAAACTATGTAGATTATCGAGCAACATTTTATACGTAGTTTATATGTATGAAAAATGATTTAAAAAACATAACCTATACACTCAAGAAAACTAACTAGTGATTCACTGAGATGATTCCCGTCACGTGCCATAAAATGCTAATCCTCGTGTTATTTATGCCATCAGAGACACCTTGACCGCCATTATAGGATTTGTTTGATTTTTAATCGCGCCACAAACAGTTCGAATACCGCCACTAGACGCGTAATTGATCGGCATCCGATAATGTCTAGTCATCGTCATAAATATGTACCTCTTTTGACGCTCTTTCGTGGAGATTCTGCCGATCTTATCGAGATATCGGCGCAACGCTTGGCGAACGGCCAATTGACATAATTCTTGGCTGCGTCTTTTGACACGCGCTGCCGATTTTGCAGAAATCCACCTGATTTCGCGGTGTCGTGACGCTAAGCTAATTCTAACGGGTCCTACGAATATCTTTCAATTTCTTGATCTTTGAAACTCAAGTTTGTAATTTGACACACACCTTTTTACTTCACTTCGGCTTAAAGCTATCATGTCAGCCATATTGCAGTGACGTATAAATGTCCAAAATGGCACAATTCACAATAATTTTCGTTTCCGTCATTTACGTTTTATCGTTTCACTACAATACAGGATGGTCTGTGTATCTTTCACACCTGAAATATCTCGTTGCAACAGTATGAAAGGCAGTAAGTAAATATTCTTCCAACCACGTTGAATCATAGATTTGATACTCTCTTTAAATTAAATAAGGCCTATTTCGATAATTAGGTAACGATATATCTTTTACCTTGGAGAAAAAATATTGAAGCTAACAAAAATGTAATTTTTGACGTTCAAGACCATTTCAAGGTCACAAAAGTGTAACTTGCTGAATTTATCACACAATGCTCTATAATACTACGTAGAAAAAATTGAAAAAAAGGCAGTGCCCTTGAAAGCTTAAAAAGAAAAAGACTGTCAAAAATGCTGCATCAATCATGTACTATACCTGCACCCTTTTGAATCGAATAATTCCACCAGACACAATTTACGTTATTCCTAAAAGCAGCAGAGATATTTCAGATGTAAGATGTAAATGAACAGCCCAGTATATTATACAGCATGGTTTTCGTACTTACCCCTGACGTTCGGTCGAAGGAAACGGGCCTCGGGGACAATATGCACAACGACGATGAACGCTTGAAGCATCAGTGGATAGAGCATGTTTGCGGCCGGATCGGAAGCGCACCTTGCAATAAGTGCGCGACAGCCAATAGGTCGACGAGCTTCCGCTCTTGATGCCGTCGCTCCTTGACCTGTAATAAATATAAACGGATCGTCTTACGAGATGTTTTCTCAACCACGCCACGATGAGAAGCATTGTGCCTTAAGTGCAGTTGCTTGATGCACGTTCCTTGTACTTATGGCTATATTTTGGACATCAAAAGTTGCTGCATTTTCTACAGTATGTGAAAATTTGTTGAATACTAATTATTTAGCATAATATTTAATGAGGAAAAACAGAAAATAATATCTATATACGAGTTTCTTTTTTAAATTTAAATAAACAATGTATTAACAATTTTTTATGTCTTTAATTTCAGAATTAAAAAGAGATTAAAAAAATGCATACACAGGTATTTTATTTTTTCTTGCTTCGTATAAATATTTTTTCTTGCTTTTCTTGCTACGCAACAAAACTTTACAGCATAATATCACTTCCAATTCACAATCATTTTCAGCAATTTAACCTCACTTTTGCATTTCCTATTTTGTTATCAACGAATTCTAACAACGTAGACACCCAGCATACCTTCGAAACTATTAGAGGTTCCAATTTAATCCTCTAACAATTCCTAAGCACGTTTCCTTTAAATATATACACATTTACGGTAACCACATGCATTATAGAACCGCCTGTACAACCATAAAACTAGACCAACCTAGTGGATAAACATTCAGAAAAACTTTTTCTATTATTTTTCCACAAGCAGTGGGGCAAAGTTTCACGAAACGTTCCGTAGAATAACAAGACGTAGGTAATCTCCAGCATGACACGAAAACTTGAGGGAATTAAGGAATTAAAGGTGAATTTCAGGGTGACTCGCGAGGAAAAGCCTAGGGGATGCTTTTGCAGCAGCTTTCGCCTAAGGTACGTACCTTGTTACGCGGAGATTTTCATGGTCCGGCAAGTAACGCTCGGTAGTTATGGTAATCGGATTTGGCCAGGCCGCGCGAGCCCCCATCATTGGACACGACAACCGTACTGACCCTTTCTCACAGTTCCTCACATCGAATAGTCGGATTTACTACGTTCCATACTGACTTACACGCCTTTCTATGTCGACGATTATTCCAGGAAACTGACTATTCTACACCAAGAACAATACAGATTGACAAATCTGTTGAATAAAGTTGTAAAACGAGTAAAAAAAAAGACTAGCCGAGTAGAAGATATTTGAAACACCCTGTATATATGTAATATGAATTCAGAGATTCAGTATTCGAAAATAATAAAAAACAGCTCCTATAAATATGTGTCCTATTCCACCTTGTTTCCAAGTTACAGCGTCGCAAGTTGTGATAGTTTTTTTCGACGCACGAAGTTGGTACCGACTGTACGGGAATAACGTTTGACGTCTCACGCACAATCTTTCGACTATTTTACACTATTGTAACTTTCAAAGTACATGAAAGAGTTTTTTTTAGAAAGAGTGACAAAATAAACGATGATACTTGTATTGACATGCGTAGTCATTTGGAAAAACAAAGATGGCGAATTTTACGTTCAATTTGACGTGCAGAGCACCAGCGAAGCTCGCACGTACACGTTCGACTCTTATTTTAATTAGCAACTCTCACAGAAGAGTCGCAGCCACCGTTGGTGAAACGCTGTGGAATACCGAAAGGGTTTGGGGAAATCAAAGTCAGTTGATTAACTCTCTCCCTCTGTCTACGAAATCAGTAATTAGCCACTGGGGGCTACCTATCGACACGAACGAACTTCTGATGCACCTGCATAGCAATTAACATTTATTTCTCTCTCTCTTGCGTTAACTCTCAGATTGCGCCTTTCTTTCTGTTCCCTCCAAAGTGACACTTTCTGTTGCATTATATTCGTTCGAGTAACGAACACGCGACAGAATAATCGCTGTTCATTTTGTACTTCTTTTTTAAAGGTTATTTTCGTATATATTCGCATATTACACAGTACTGCTGATACTTTTCTACGAGGTTTGTTCGACGTTTATCGAAAAATTGAAAAATTCAACTATCTTAGTATACATGGCGAGCAAAATAATTTCATCGTATTTCCAATTACGCATCCTACTCTGCATACACGTTCTTGTATAACAGCCTGTAAGTAGCGTGCTTTTACCAGTGCACAACTATTCCTCACTTTCTGGAAGGCACACTAATTACCATAACGATAGCAAGATGTCCGTCTGAACGATGGTACAGAAGAAGCATAATCAATGCTCAGATTGTGTTATTCCAAATGAATCTTTCCACTGAAACTCGTCCACGTACGCGTTAATGAACAAACGTCTCGTTGGTATCTTGGTCATTAAGAACGCGGTCGTAGAATATTTATAAGAAGCGCGCTTTTAAAGCTTCTCCTGTCATTTGAATTGAGTTGTCACGCGTGTAATTCACCACACAGGACGAGCACATCGTGGGAGATTAACGAGGCGGATGTCGCGAGAGACTCAATGAGAAATTATCCCTAGATACATTCGCACAATGAGACTTCTATCTGATTCAGTAGAAGCTTCTAATCCAGGGTGTGTTTTTTCCTTGATTATGTGTCATTCCTTTTTATGAGTGTATCATGTTCAAGTAGTCTGACATTTTCTCTAAGTATAAATAGACAAGCCTGTATCTAGAATAAAAATATTGTCGATACTATTCTAGGTATCGTGTGAACTAGCCTTTACTATATCGTACTTATTCAGAAAAAAATATTTCAGACTTGCATTTCAAATCTATAGTTCTATTATAAAAATATGATGTATTCAACATGTTAGAATCACATTAGTGTGACTGTACTACCAGGACAGAGTACTTTGAAGCAACTTATATATTGTATAACGATGTACACAGACTTACATGATAAATATGAAAAGTATCGGTTAGTTGGGAACAGTGTAAATACTGTGATGAGCTTGAGATATAGGTACTTTAATGACTTAGAGTGCAGAAAAAGAAATAATGTATACTATACATGGCGTGAATACTACGTTACGCGCGTGACATGCCGTGACGGACGGAAGCTTGCCGACTACTACTGGACACAAAGAAAATCGATCATTTACGTATAGGGTCGACAGATGTCGGCCGCGATAGGAAGAAATACGCGCGCCAAAAGTCTCACAATACGGAGGATGATATTTTACATAAAAATAGAAATGTCAAGTTGTTCACAAATTTGACTTTCCTATTTTTCAGAACTGAATATTTTCACACAAAGTAAATATCTTTCCTTACAAAACTGAATAATATAATAACGCTTAATTCGTTTTTTAAAATTTTTATAAATACAGATCGTAGCGACACGTAATTTGAGAGGAATTAGTTTTCGCCAACGAATTCGCATTCGTTTTTTCACACCACTCTTATTCCCCATGATAAAGAAAATTGTAAATGTATGTTGAATGTGTAAATTGATACGAAATGAAAGTCGAAATTTTTTCAGAGAAAAAACCGAGTACATATATGTATATGAAACCGCGTTGTTCCAAGTAGCATTGTATATTATGGTTCTCTCGATCGCGAACAATTTCGAGAGTCGATTCCTATTTCTCAGCCCTTTCCTGCAATTATCGATACATTATCGGTTTTCCCTATAGCAATATTCAATTGATTCGACATGTCATGGAGCAATTGCAAAACAAACGTTCCGACCCCCTAGTGTTATACTGCAATTTGCGAATATAACAGCGACATTCGGTCCAACCTCAAATTTCATTATTTCTCGCTGTACCATTCATATACTGAATATATTACTTTGACCACCAATAAACTATCTATTTATATGTATATCACCGATATCTACATACATATATTTTTAAAACTCCAATTGTCAATCGAATAATACACATAATCTAAAAATCTTCGAAGAATTGCATCGTTAGTCATTTTTATTCGAAAGGAAAATGTTTTTATTGGATAATCAATATTGTTGTACATTTTCATGGCATTCCAGATTCTTCTTTTTAGAAAATTCTTTTGTTAAACTTCTCATGCTTGTTTTCTCCAGCATCTTCAAAGTTCTCGAGACATTGGAGATTCTTAAGAATCAACACTTTAGAAACTTTCAAGATTTTTAATGTTGTAAATATATAAGGAATATATTTACCCTTAAAATTTTCATGACTTCCGAAACTTTTACCACCTACGAGGTTATCAAGATTTTCAGTGTTTCGCGAAATATTCAGTACTACCCGATATGCAAAGCAATCAATAGTTTGTTACAATGAACTTAATAAAAGGTTTAAACAATTTTTTACGATTTATTATATATTTATTTCAACGTATTATTATTCACAATTTGCAAATTATAAGAATATTCAAAAAATAAAAATTTAAAATATTCTAACCTCTACAACGAAACTGTCGATGCGCTCTCAACTGAAAGAAAATCAAAGGTTCCTTGTCCGAAGGATTAGGTTAGATTAAGTGGGCAGCGACGTAGAAGACGCAGACAACGGCGACGATGGCGTCGACGACGCGACGAAACGGTCCGCGAAGTGAGAGGCACCGGAAATGCATTCGAATAAATGTTAGAGCGCGTGGGTAAGCGCGTGTGAAAATGCGTACGCTCCGTGAAAAAGATACAGGCAAGAAAGAAAGAAAAAGAAAGAGAAAGAATAACCAACGAACTCGTTCGAACGGGATTTACTCCTACGAATACGTAGCGTCGCTCGCCTCCGACTAATTCGCCAATGTTAATGGTAGTTAATTGACAGGCTGCCGAGAGCGGGTGTGTCCGAGTTATTCCGGGCGAAAACAAGCGTGGCGGTCTTGGATATTGTGCAAGAAAATTATGTCCTGGAAAGTGTTTAGATTTAACAAATTTTTTTATTCCAATTATATTGATTATATGGATGATATAACAAGAATATTATAAAACAAAAATTCCTCAGGATTATACCAGGAAACAAGGTCAAATAGGATACACGTTTATATCAACTTTCTTCATTGTTTTTCTGTCCTCTATCCAC